AGAAGGAGAAGGAGAAGGAGAAGGAGAAGGAGAAGGAGAAGGAGAAGGAGAAGAAGGAGAAGGAGAAGGAGAAGGAGAAGGAGAAGGAGAAGGAGAAGAAGAAGAAGAAGAAGAAGAAGAAAGAGGAGGCAAGAAGAAGGCCTATCATGACTAAAATGTGTGTACACCTGTAAATACACTGACTGGCACACAAGATAAATAGATTCTGTCTTATTTCTATTGAGATTAAAAAAGACTTCTAATTCTTTTTCTGCCATGAAACAAACAGAAACACTTTATTTTTCAGTTAAAGGAAAATGAATGTCTACACACCTTTCTCCAAGGATGCCTAGCAACAGAAGTGGTTAAGTGCTTGATTGTTAATCAAAAGATTAGCAAATGAACTCACCAGATACATGTCCCTGTGGCTGATGGGCAGTCAGCACATTTATGTAAATATTTACCATTTTGGAAATGCTATGGGATAGTCCTATTCTGTCCTACAGTGTGAGTCAAAATTTACTTGATATCAGTGAGTTTGGGTTTTATGTTTTAATACATTCCCAATATTTTACTCTGTGAAAAAAGAGGTGTTAAACCAATGGTCATTCTCTCTCTTAGCATACATATTGTAATTTTATAAATAAAATATGTCTTCATATATATATATGTATATATATATAGCTATTCTTACAGTCAGCAATCATTTGTTATTTGATAATCACATTATAATAGAATTTATATCATGAAAGTACACAGCTCTAATTTATTACACCTACAAAATTGACAAATGATTACCTACATCTCTGTAGAGGCATTATAAATTCAGAACACACTAACATTCCACACATGTGTTCATGTTCTTTCTTCTCTCTTCATTTTTTCTTCTCTCTTTCTTCCCTTCTCTTTATTTCTCTTTCACAAACAACAACATAGTCATGAACAAAGCAATTTTATTAAATAGTATAACTTTCATTATAATTTTAAACCTGATGGATTGATTTAAAAGAAGAGAACCATTGCCTTGCAGACAATAAAATAACACTTTAGTTCCTCCATAAAAGGAAAAGCACTTCCAAGCATTGTTACAGAGAATGTAAATTGATACAATTCAATGCATTAATTAAATATATAAATGTACAAATCCTTTTGACATGGAATTCCACTCAAAAGAATTATCATACAGATACATGCAAATAAATACAAAGGGTATAACCACAGAAATTACTGTGACATTGTTCATAATAGCAAAATAAAGAAAACTAAGACAATCTCAATATCCACAAGGGATGTAATTAAATGTAATTCTATGCAATTATTAACAGCAATGAGGTAGTTCTACTTGTGTTGATATTAAAAACTAAGACCACATAGAAGTGCAAGACAATGTGTATAGTATGTGTAAATATGTATCTTTACAAAAACACATATATGTACATATAATCACACAGATAAATATACACATATATCTCATATCATGTATATGAGCATCTACATATGCTACACTTATATAAAATTGTAAGGGAAAGTATACAAGAAACTTGATAACTGATTGTTCCTTCTGACTTGTATTTTTTTGAAGTTACTAGTTTTCTTCATTTATAATTTACTGCAAAATTTAATATTTTATCAGGAACATGTGCTTTCTTTGCAGAAAAATAGTATTACATCTTCCAGAAAACTAGCTGGTTGCAGCTAAGATTCTAAAGTTCCAATTGTTTAAAAGATGTGAATGCATATTTATTAGAGTGTCTTAGTTCCCTAGAATCTTTGAAAAACTCTAATTCCAAAATCAGTTCTTCAATTCTATAAGTACTGGAAAGTTGCTGCAATATTTTACTGCAACTTGATTCATTCACCCAGGTGCTAGATTCCATTAATAACTTAATGGGTATGGAGGTCCATTTCAGCCACTTCATTTAGTTGCACGTGGGATGTCTTTACTTTCCTTGCTGTGTCATAGAGTGGATTACTTTTCTCTGTATAGCTGGCATAGGGCTGCATCTCATCCTAAAAAAAAAACCAAACACTTGGAGTCAAAACAAACTTTGAAAAACTAGGAATTATCAGAGAAACTAATCATATTTTTTTCCAACATGTGACCATCACATTAGTTCTAGTAAGAATTATATATATATACACACATGTATGTATATGAAAGGAGGTTGAGTTTTCAAGTATTGAAATACAAAGGAAGAGGAACAGTTGTAAGCAGACACTGGAGATTGGGACATGGAATGTGAGAACCATGAATGTACGAAAATTAGATATTGTTAAGGAAGAAATGGAACGCATAAATATTGACATAATAGGCATTGGTGAGATGAGATGGACTGGCATGGGACATTTTGAGTTGGATGACCATATGATATATTACTCTGGAGATGAAAAGGTGAGGAAAAATGGAGTTGCTTTCATAGCTAAA